CCCCATGTCTGTTTTTCCTTAAATCCTGCTGCTGCTCTGAAATTTGGCCAGGGCCCAGCTCTCCTAAAGGCTGAGCCATGCGTCATCGATGCTCCCCTGCAGCTGCTGTTCTCCTGCCATCCTCCCACCTGCAGCCCCTGGCACCCCTGGGAGGGCATCAAGGTGATGCTGGGCACCCAGTCCTGCTCCCATACTCATAGAAGTATTATAAGATTTTTTTTTTTTTTTTGAGAGAGAGAGGTGGGGGTATAGATGGGTTTGGAGGGGAGTTTTGGGTTGAGAAAACCTTTCTTGCCAAAATTATGAGCCAAGGATGCTGCTCAGCCGCCCTGTGCCCTGTCTGGCAGCGGGGATGTTCATTGCAGTACCCCCCAACCCTGACATTCCGTTGTTTCTCTGGTTTTCATCCTCACTTCCCCCCAACCCTGACATTCCCAAAGGGCAGCTCCTGGCCCTCCGGAGCACCCACAGCACTTGGGCACCTCTTAAGCAACACGCAAGGGTGTTGCCCACTGGGCAGCCTGGGATGTCTCCACCAGCGGAGATGGCAACATTGATGATCTTCATCTCCTGAAGGTGCCTCTGGGACAAAAAACTCTTGGACTACCTGTCCCACCCCCCCTCCCACCTTACCTGGTCCTTCTTTTGGGAGAAGCGCTGGTGGCAGCAGCCATAGATGGCCGCGATCAGCAGCAGGGAGCCAGCCAGGGTGATGATGGTGATGATCAGGGGTGTGCTGAACTCATCGTTGATTATCAAGTCCCTCTGCATTTTGTCGTAGGTGATGTTGGCGATGCCCAGCTGCCGCAGAAGAGACGGGTCAGGCCCCGAGGAGGGTTTCCTGTGCCACCCACCTCGGGGAACATCCGTGGGGAAGCTCTACTGTGCCTGGGGACCCACTTACCTCCTCTAACTTGTCCTTCTTCTCCTTCAGCTCCTCAAGGACTTTTTCAGGGTCCAAAGGGACTGGGGTAAGAAAGAGACTGCAGTGAGCATGAGGTGGGGGGGGCAGGTTGTGCCACCACCACCCTGTCCACGGGGTGACCCTGTCGCTGGAGGAGGTGGATGGAGAGGTGCAGGCATGGAGCCAACCCTTGCAGGTGCCCCCACAGCCAGACGAGGATCCATCACCTCTTCTCCTGGAAGGGGGACAGCCCCAGAGACCCCAGACCCCAACAGCCCCAGGCTGTGCGCACCCTAGGGTGGGGTCTCTGCTCCAGTGGGTGATTTACTAGTGAGAGGGGGCGAGGGTCTGTGACCAGAGCCTCCAGGCCATGCCAGAGCAGTGCAGAATTAGTCCCCAGGGCCCAAACTGCCCTGCCCAGGGTCGGGTGCTGGAGGCTGAACCCCCTACCCAACCCTGATGATGATGATGAGGATGGAACTTAGTCCTTCCTCCCCCGTGTGCTAGGGTAGCGTGATGTCTCCATCCTCCCAGCACCCTGGTGCTAAAGCAACACTTGGGCAGCCTCAGGCTGAGCTGGATTTCCCCAAAGGGCTCTGACTTGGGTGAGAAACTCCCCTCTGTGGTCCCCTGGGGAAGGATTTGAACTGGGTGTTGGATTTTAACCGCTTGGGAGGAAATTTTTCCTCCTGGAGCCTGGTCCTTGACTTGACTCCTCGTGGGCCGGAGAGGGATCTGGTGCATTCATTGGGCAGCAAAGGTGATTTCTGCGTCATTGTGCCTCTCCTGAGCCATTGAGATGGAGCAGCCCAAGGAAAGGAGCCCCTTGGCCAAACTCCAGCAGACCTGAGGGCTCTGCCAAGCCGCAGGCTCCATCCCGGTGCCAGGGTCCCCGATGCCACTCCCATCCTGTCCCCTTCCAGCCCGGAGAGTGGGACTGTACTTACGGTGCACGACTGCCCGCACGGCCCACTGCTGGGAGGGGGACCTGGGGGAGCTCAGCGTCACCGTGCACGTCTCCCTGCTGGCGTTGAAAGCGTGCTGGCCTGTGGAGCAGAAGCTCTCGAAGAAGGAGATGTTCATGCTGGCAGTCCTCCACTCAGCCTGCAGTGACAGCAAGGGCTCAGCACTGTCCCCCCCGACCTGGGAACTGCCGAGTAGCATCCTGCCCCCTCCCCCGGGATGCTGTGGCCATCCCCATTCTCCCCCCCCTCGGTCACCACTGGCCCTCCCAGGGAACAGGAAAAGTTTAAAAGTAGTTTCTTTATGAGAAGCTGAGCTCTTGGCTGCTGTTCCTCACCAGGGCCCTGCGCTGGCCTTATCTGAGAGCTGCAGCTTTTGGTGTTACAGGAATAGCAGGTCCCAGAGGGAAACGGGGTGGGGGGAGCAGGGGAGACTGAAGGGCCAGGGGGGGAGCAGGACAGGGCTGTGCAGCCCCCCTGTGCCCCCATGGGCGTCTGAAGCCCTTCTGCCACCTCCATTTCTACCTTCTGTCCCCACCAACATGGGTCCCTGTCCTCCCTAGAGCTTCCCCCTATCTCTGTGGTTCTGCAGAGGCAGGAGATAAAAGTTTTACTTTTGGATAAACTGGAGCATCCCTGGGGAGGGGTTAGCCTGGACAGCACCAGAGGGATGGGAGAGGGGTTGGTGGAGCCCACGTCCCCTCCAAAATGTTCCTGAGGCTTTTTGCATCTGCTCCTTTGCTTCGTAGCAGCTGGGAGCTCACTAAGGTAGAGATGATCACCCTCCTGCCTGCGCAGACCTTGCCCGCGCAGGTCCTTTGTGCAAAGGTGTCGTACATACAGCTCCTACACGCACAAGTCGCGTATGCACTGGTGCTGCACGCACAAGCACTGTGTGCACAAGTCCTCTGTGCACAGATTCTGCACGTGTAAGGTTTTGCCTTCACCGGTCCTGTGCGCACTGAAATGAGGTGCTGGGAAGGGCTCTGCTCCTGCCTGCTCCAGCTCCCCCAACCTTCCCCTCCCTCTGCAGCACCCTCTTCCCTGTGTCCCACTTGAAGTCCTGGCCAGCAGGAGTGCATGCTCCACTGCAAGGGCAGGAGCTGCCGGGCCAGGGAAGGCACCTTATCTCACCCCATCTTATCTAAATATTTGGGAAGCAGTGGTGGAGACAGGATGTGCTCGCCGGTGTCCAGCACAGAGCAAGGGTGAGCTCAGCATCGCGAGGCCCCGGCCATCCCTGCGCAGCGCCGCTGGCCCTCACCTGTCCTTTCGCTTTGCACGGGGAGAAACTTCCCCCTGGCCCCTCTCTTGAGTCTGCAGCATCCCGGCTGCATCCCTGGGGAAAGGGCTGGGTGGGAAACCTGCTCCCAGCCCTGCACAGCTGGATGAGCCCTTGGCAAGGCAGCACCCCCCAGAAAGCTCATCCCCAGCGGGACAGAGCGAAGAGGGTTACAGCCTGGTCCGGGCGATGGTTTTATCATCTTCGGACGCTGGGTTGTGCTCCTACGCTTTAAATGTCCTGCAGTTTATCAGTCCCTGCCTGTGAAACGTTCTCGGCAGAGGTAAGAAAAACCTCTCTGCTGCCTCCTCGCCATCCTCCATCCCCAGGTTTTGCCGCAGCTCTGTCTTCCCCCACCCCTTAATAACCTACATCTCCTTCTACCACCCCATGAGGGGAATAAAAAAAGACCTTTAAAAAGCCTTTTTTGGGGTGGGAAGGGAAATCAGAAGCAATGCTAAAACGCAGCTGAGCACCAAACCGCTTTGAGCAGTGCCTAAACCATTTTTGAGGCTGGACTGGAGGGATTTACCCTCTGCAGGCTTGGAGAGGGGCACGGCAAGGCCCGCTGCAGCTGGCAGGGATGCCCCAGCAGCTCTCCCCTCCCACCGCCAGAGCCGCTCACATTCCTTGGCCGGAGTTGACAGACGCTGCCGAGCAGCTCGAATCCGGTTCCCACACTGGTGGGGACCTAAAACTAACATCCCCGAATGAGGTAACGGCACTTGAGTCAACAAACCACCCCGCCAGCTGGACAGGGTGAGGGGGACCACAACCCTGCTCAGTGAGAGGGTCCCTCCGCCTGCTCCAGGGACCATCCCAGTGTCCCCAGAGCGGTGGGTGTCACACAGCAAATTCCCTCAGGCACCTGGGTACAGGTCCAGGTGATCCCGTTGTTTTTGGCCAGAGCAGGCACTGGTGCTCCCCAGTAGCCTCCAGCTCAGCTCACTGGGCATATCTGTGTCCCAAGTGGGGACACAATGGAGGAGGAACGCTGGTCTTCTGGGAGGTGGCCACAGGGCTGTGTGGCTCAGCCACAGCTCATGGGACACCAGCCACCTCTGACATTGTCACCTCTTGCTTCACTTAATGCATTTTGGGGTTGGGATGAGGAACAGAGCAGTCATCCATCCATCCATCCATCCATCTATCCATCCATCCATCCATCCATCCATCCGTTTATCCCAAGGCTGGAGCACCTCAAGCAGCCAACGAAAACCCAACTGAAGATGCATTTGTCATCCAGACCTTGGGAAAGTCATCCTATGGAATGCACGGCATCGAGCTAATAAGCCTTGTTAAGAAACTTGTTAATACCCTGCGGTAATCAAAGGAGAAGGGGAAAAAGGGAGGGTTGGGGAACATGGACCAAGCGGTTCAGTGCTGGTTAAAAACTGGGAACCAACCAGCCCATAAAATACCTTCAGTCCACAAAGTGGTACCAACCATAGATTTGGCTTTAGTTTTTAAGATTTACAGTTTGAAGGTGGGTTGGTTTTGGTTTTTTTTTTTAATTAAAATTTACTGCAGCTGGAGAAACTGAGGTTCATCAGGGTCAATGCCCTCAATTCCTGGGTTCAAGCCCAACCATTGTGGAGGGGTCCCTGCGTCGCCAGTGCTGCCCCGTGAGCCCAGCTCCGCACAGGGTGGCTGCTCTGCGCTACCCTCTCCCCTGCCATGTGTGATTTGGACCCGTCCCCTACCACCAGCCTCCACCTTGCCCTCGATGCTTCCCTGGCTCCTCTCTGGAGCTGAGCTTTTAGCACAATGCTGCCCTAACTCTGGCTCGTTCTTGCGGACCGGCATTGGAGCCGTTTCTGGAACACTTCTCCTTATAGCGTGCACTTTCCTGTTTTCCCACGGGTTGTGAAATGCAAAGGATTTTTTTCACTTTGCTGTCAAGATTTGGCTAGAGACTTGTTTACCGGGCCTACAAAGCAGGGAAACCAGATAGTGCCATTTCTCTGTTATCTGCTCAGCTTGGGAGGCATAAAATTTGTTGCAATTTTCAGGAATACACCGAGTGGAAAGTTAACGGCAAGCGGGTGGGAGGTGTTTTGGCAGCCGGGGAGAGCGATGCTATGGGAGGATGCACCCTTGCAGCCTTTCTGAAGCTGTTTCGAGGCGTACTTGGCATTTTGTACTAACAATGCTTCGGCTCGTTATTATGCCCAGAGGAACCTAAGGGAAACAGGGCGGCAGACTTGCTGGCTCGCCAGCTCCAGCGCCGCTATCGCCCAGCGAGGCGGGTAGAGAGGAGCGATGGATGATGCCAAGCCGTGATGTCTGCCCACCCCTTAGCTGGTGCATCGCCGCGCACCAGCGCTTCCCAGCCTTACATCCCCGTTTCCATAAAGCCTCCTGGCACAACTCCAGAGAAACCCCGGGGAGGACAGCAGCTCCATGCAGAGAATGACTGTGCCCAGAAGGAGAAAGGAAAGCGTTAAACACCAGCACAGTCATAAGTCACCCGGGTGGTTTAGAGGGTCCAAAATTAGGGTTTTGTTTGTTTTTGGTTTTTTTTTTTTTCAATCTGATGAAATATTTTTATATATTTGATGTAAAATTTGGTGAGAAGCTTTCCCAGCGTGGACACGGCTGCAGGTTCAGCCACTGTGCAAAGCAGGGCAGGGGATGCTCTCAGAAGAGCATCGGGGCCACAGGCATCATGGTAATAAGGTCCCTCCTTGGATTCATCCTCAGTATTAAGGGCATTATGGCTAAGAATATCATCATTTCTGCAGGTGTGCGGGCAAGGAGCGTTTACACCCAGCAGCAGCCACAGTAGGAAGGTGATGATCACAGGATGGCAGCAGATGGGCACTTCCCCTTCTCCAGGAGCACGGTGGGTGCTATTGGGAGGTCCAAGCCCTCTCCAGGGCTGCCGGGCAGGGCCATCACCAAGCCACAGGGAATTTTAAGAGCTGCTGTGGTCAGTAGGAACGATCGTGCTCGTCTCAGCACGTACCTCAGGGCGTTTTAGGAACACAGTGTGGCTTTGCTTTGCGTCTTGCCACTGCACGGTGAAGCCAAGTCAGTCCATTTTACAAATGGGACAGCACAGGATCACGAACCTGGGCAGTTATTTCTGATGCTGTGCAGCGTAAGCTGTGAGAAGGTCCCTTAAATGCCAATTTCCTAATGCTTGCACTGCCTTGGCAGTGCTGGGAGGCAGAAACCAGAGTATTACAATGACAAAACCCACCCCTGAGCCCCTACCCACAGCTCAGACAGACACAATCACTGTCAAGGTGTCACCAGCCATGTGGTATTGTCTTTTCCTCTTGGTCAAACTTAAACTTCAGCCTGTTTAGAAGTTATCAATATATTGCATCTTCCCTATTACAGGAAACTCACGGTTTGCACACAAATAATTTTGAAGATGAATATCCCTCAGAAAAAACAGCAGATTGTACCCACCCACCAGAAGAAGGGGTCTTGGGTTGGGCTTGGCTTTCCCCAACCTTGGCACTACATTGTACTACCCCCTGGTCTTGTAGAGGGTTTGAAACAAATGAAATGGAGTTTTTTTGCTCTCACATCAGGGTTCTATGAGAGCTGATACAGCATCGAGGTGCACAGTGAGTCCCAAACTCCAGGCTGCTCTTCTTCCCAGTTGCTCTGCAGTTGGATGCCACCCTACCCCAGCTGTGAGGTTGCAAGATCTCACCATTTGCACAACTGTGGAGAAACTCCACCTTTTTTTGCTTGGGTTTTTGGGATGAACTTCTGGCCCCTCTGCAAAGGCAGAAAGCTTTCCCGTTAGCCTTTGCAGAGGGCAAGTTTCACCCTCTAAAATTTCACACTGCTTTTTCTGAGACCTGGGTGGGCTCAGCTGGTCCTTTTACTTGAAGACGACCACACAGGCCTCTCCTCCTCCCATATCCCCACCAGGTGATGCTGCTGAATGTGGGTTTGCATTTACCATTTTACATCCCAAAAGGAGTTGTATCTTATTTTGGTGAAATTACTCGAATGCCTGTAGGCTCACATGCTCAGGGTACCACAGGTTAAAAGCAACAGAGCTGCTAATCCTACATAGAAGTCCAAAAGGGTGGTTGGTACTTACACAGGTTTTAGCTTCTTTCAGATACATGATGGGCCCATTATTTTGCACCTCGTCTTTACAGAAGAACTGGAAAGACAGAAGAAAAGCAACTCTCAAATTGTTGATATAGGTTGGAAGGACAGTGGCTCACCGATACAACAGATTGCCCCAAACCAGGATGCATCCCAACCAAAGCCGTGATCCATTTTATAGAGGTGAGACAGGCCTGGGAGCCCTTCACTCAACCCTTTTTGTGTGGAAAGGGTTTACACACATAACTGACATGGTTGCTGATGCCCTTCCCAAACCAGGCTTAGAATTTGCAGTGTGGCGTAAAGCAGGAATTGGTTTAGGCAGTAGGAAGGTCCATGCCAGTGGGCCACAATGCAGTCCCGCCATACAAAAGCCAAGCATCTAGAAGCAGAATCCTCTTCCCTCCTTCCTAGCACTGGGATTTTTAGGTATCCTGGCTTGCGTTATGAGACTCTGTAGTCCCAAACTATTTCTGCTAATATCACCCATGCATGGTTTATTGTGGTCTTTACCCTCTCATCAAGTCCAAGTCCACCCCAAGGCAGTTTCTGCTCTCCATAATGTTTCCCTCCCTCTTCCCAAATTTCACTTCTTCCCTGTTCAGCACCCAGACCATAATGCCCGTCACCTTCATCCTCTGTGTCTCTTCACTGGCAAGCTACAGGAGAAAGGGGTTGGACTAAACGACCTTTAAAGGTGCCTTCCAACCCAACCCATTCTATGTTTCTGTGACCCAGAATTATTTTGCTGCCTCATGTTTTCCTAAGGCAGATCTCTCTGACACCAGCTTGCACAGTGTGAAGGGCTGCAGACTTCACACGTACAGGGGATGCCAGCTAAATATTCATAGACACCACCACAAAGTGCCCACCTTCCCATAGGCTTCATTACCTCGTTTTGGAATGAAATGTTAGGGTGCTGGTGTCCAGGACGGCTGCTCACTGTCTGGTCCCCCGGGGCTGGGGCTGATGGCTGGGTGCTGGCAGGCCTCTGGTCAACACTTGTAGGTTTGGTTGACACAGATCCGGTGTCATGGCTTTCCTGGCCTGGGTCCCCAGTACACACCAAAAAAACAAGCAGACAGATACTGATACAGTATAGAGGTACAGCTAATACAGCTCCGTGCACGCCTGAAGATAAGTTTTGATCTCTAGAACTGCCTTGAAGCTCATTGTGCCAAAGCTTGGAGAGGTTTGGGCTGCTGCTTTTTTTTTTAAAAAAAAAACAAAAACAAAAACAAAAAACCCAACAACAGAAACAACCCAACTTTGATATGGAAAAAATATTATTTCTGATTTTATTTTCTGATGCTGAAAGTCATCAGCTTGTTCTGGAGAGAAGAACCCAAGGGCTCCTCACTACACAATGTCCACAAAGGACACTGAATTACTTGAGCATGTCCAGAGAGGGCAACGGAGCTGGGGCAGGGTCTGGAGCACAGGTCTGCTGGGGAGCGGCTGGGGGAACTGGGGGGGTTCAGTCTGGAGAAGAGGAGGCTGAGGGGAGACCTCCTGGCCCTCTGCAACTCCCTGCCAGGAGGGGGCAGAGAGGGGGGATGAGTCTCTGGAGCCAAGGAGCCAGCGCCAGGCCCCGAGGGAATGGCCTCAAGCTGCCCAGGGCAGGGTCAGGCTGGCTCTGAGGAAGGATTTCTGTGCAGAAGGGGCTGTTGGGCGTTGGAATGGGCTGCCCAGGGCAGGGGGGAGTCCCCGGGATCCCTGGAGGGGTTGAAGAGTCGGGCTGAGCCAGCGCTGAGGGATCTGGGGGAGTTGGGAACTGTCAATGTTAGATTAACAGTTGGACTGGATGATCTTCAAGGAGATAAAATGATCTCCTTTCCAACCTCGATGATTCTGTGATGGCTGTGCGTTGGTAGCCGGGTGATCAGTTAATAAAGGAGTATCCCGGGTAAATGGGATGGCCCTCATTTCACTTTATCTGGGGTGTCTTCCATGTAGGTTTCTACAACAGGTAGAGTATCTGAGCTGGCTACCCAGGAGCTCCCGGCGAAGGGAGCTCATTGTGCAATCCCACTGTAAACTGCAGCCGCCTCTCTTAGGAGGGGATGAAACCCCACAGCCCCTGTTGACTTCATCAGCTATGGAAGAAGTCCAGGGTGACATGCTTAGAAGTAGCACCTGGTACCACGGGAGAGAGCCTGGCGTGTCCTGCCTGCCTGCTACTCCAGAAGGGCACAAGCTCCAAGTCTACCAGCCCCATGCAGGTGTCTCAGATACCTGAGATCATCTCAGATGCCTTTGTTAAGATCTGTGGCATCTTACAGATTCTTGTGCAGTGGGAGCACAGCAGGCTCCTGCCTCCCCAAATCCTTTTGAAGAAATGGATCTCCATCCCTGGATTCCTAACCAATCCTTAAATGCTAACAGACAGAGTTAAAACACCACATCCTGTTCACAGCCTGTTTGCTTTTGGGACTCCTGCCTCTTCCACCGAAAAGATGAGGGATATTTATCTCCCCGACACATTCTGAGGGCTGCAGGAGAGAATTAATTTCAAAGCTGTCTGTTTGTCTCTCATTCTCTCACCTGTTTATTAAATGTAAAGGTTTTTTAGACCTCTTCACGCTCAATGCTTGAGGTCAAATTTGAATTAACATAATTTCATATATCATCCTTTAATAGCGAATAGCCCTGAGGAGCAGGAGGGGAGAGAAACATCCTTCATGAAGATACCCATTTCACCTCTTCATGCCTGCTAACATGCTCTAAGCACGACTTGGGTGAAGCCAGTAAGGATGGTCTTGACTTAGACTTGGCCTATTTACTGATGCTGAGAGCTGTAAGACTGAGGGGGATGGAGATGGTTTTTTGAGTGGCTTCTGTATTACAGATAGCTGGAAATTGGGTCAAAAAAAACCCCAAACCCAAAACCCAACATTCTCCAGAGGAAGGTAATGAAGGGCTTCAGCTCATCACAGCTTTCATTCAGACCCAGACGTGAGCTGAACCCACAGTCCCCCCCCCAAGTCTAGAAAGCTCCATGGAGCCCTCACAGTCCCACAGCGTGATTACTTTCCCATAAACACTACCACACAAAATTCAAGCCAGGAGCCTAAACTGTGCCTCACCAGGACACTTGTGAACAAACATGACTCTGTGATGCTCCAGAGGTCTAGAGAAAACATATTAATGGTGTTCAGCAAGATCCTAAACACCACGTGGACACTCCTAATGCTGCTTAGACAGAAGTCAGCAGCCAAATCCCCCGCAGCAATGGTGCATATCCTACCTAACTGCTTAGACTCTTTAGAGGTTGTAGACTCCGAGTTTAGCCACAAAATCTCCTTAGTCACCTAAAGCTTATTTTCTGTGCATGCCCAGACAGGCTCCACTAAGCTGTCAGCCATACTAGGGAACTTCTACAATCAGCATTTCAGGGGGTTGTCGATCCGTTTCACCAACTCTACCACATCCGTCTCCACCTCTGAGCTCATCACTGCTGGCTCCCTTTTGTGGTCACTGAAGATCAAGTCATTGCAGTTGGTGATGCTTTGGGCACACTTTGGTCCATCCCAAAGCCAATGTCTACAAACAGCCAGTTGATTCATGCCTTGAATTTCACAAACCACATTGACTCGACCTCCACCAGTGACAACAGGGACCTAAACACGCAGTTGTCATGGAGACAACTATACTGGAAAGTCCTAAAACGAGACAAGGTGATGACACCCCATAATGACAGGAGGTGTTTAGGGTAGCCAAAGGAAAAGACCACAAAAAGCCCTCCCAGCATGAGAAATCGAGGTTCTTGTCTTCTGGTACCTGCTCCAGGAGTCGATGTGGTGGCTGCCTCTGAGACCTTGTCGATGCTGCCGGGTGGTAAAGACGGAGACACTTTGCTAGTGGTGAGAGACACGGATCCATCAAAAGGGGTAACAGAAGGGCTGATGCTTCCAGGTCTGCTGGAAGAGGCCAGTCCCTGAACTGGAGAACTGGAAGAAGAGTGAGGCTGCTTGGTGGCGGGTATGGCAGAAGAGACAGCATCGTCCTTGGGCCCAGGGGGAAGGTTGCTCCCTGGGTCTCCTGTACTCGCAGTGGTGTTGGTCACCTGGTCCAGAGGCTGGCTTCCCTGAGTGGCCACGCTGGGAGTGGGTGTGAGGGCTGCTGGAGAGCTGCTCACATGAATGGATGAAGGACTGGCAATAGTGGTGTTTGCCAGGCTTCCTAAGTTGGCTGGAGGGGTGATGCTGGAAGTTGGAGCTGGAGGGGTGGTTGCTGAGGCTCTGGAGCCAGTGGAAGGGTTGACCTGCTGAGACGGGCCAGTCAATGTTGCGAGGGTAGGTGATGGGTTTCCCGGGTTGTGTGTGGAGACGGTCCCTTGAACTGCAACAGATGGTGTTGCAGAGATGGAGTGTGGGGTTCCCATGTTGTCTGTAGAGGTGGTCCCCTGAACACTGGCAGAGGACATCGTAGGGGTGGGTGATGGGGATTTTAGGTGATCTGTAGGTCCTGTGGTCCCACTCGTCTTGCTGCTGGCTGTAATTGTGACGTTCTGCCCATTTTCTCCTGGGTTTGCAAGAGACGTGTTTGTAACATTCTGAGAGCTGACACCTAGGGAAAAGTAAAAACACCAAGGTAAACTCTGAACCAAGGAAACTACTCTTGGTTTCCACCCAGAACAGGTACTAGTAGAAATAAATGCTGACCAGAAACCAGGAGTCATTCACTCAGGGCTCGTCTCATGCTCTCTCAACTCATACCAAACGCCAGGTTCTGGTATTGCCCGGTCCAGCAGAAAGCAGAGCAGAGGAGGAGGAGGAGGAGAAGGAGGAGGAAGCCCGAGCAACCTCCACAAGAAACATAGTCAAACTCACATGACTTCAAAGGGGTCGGAGGGTGAGCAGGAGGGCAAGACCTGCTGGTTCCCGGAAGATGGGAGGTGTACCTGCTCCCATGCAAAGCACTGCAAGTCATTCCCAAAATAAAGTAGATCCAGCCCTTGTGAGGGGGAAGCCAAGGGGTGCGCCGAGCGCTCTTTGTCCAGCCAGAGAGGTCTTTCACATCTCTGAAGTGGTGAGTAGCCTCAGATAAATAAGGTGACATATATTCTTTTTACAAGCTCAAGTTTTGTTTCCTTAATTGTTCACATTTCAACTTAGGTTTTTCTTCCCCTCTCAAACTCAGATGATTACTATAAAAAGTCATAAAGAGGCACTCTCACTTAAATCCAGAGTCAAACCATTGACAGTGGTGAGGCCCTGGCACAGGCTGCCCAGAGAAGCTGTGGCTGCCCCCTCCCTGGAAGGGTTCAAGGCCAGGTTGGACGGGGATTTGGGCAACCTGGGCTGGGGGAAGGTGGCCCTGCCCAGGGCAGGGGGGTGGAACTAGATGGGCTTTATGGTCCCTTCCAACCCAAACCATTCTGCGATTCTATGAAAATTTGTACACACTGAAATTCCCAGCTGGGTGAACTGTGGAAACAATATTTATCCCACTTGCTCTGAAAGAATGGGTCAACGCCGGACAGAGTTTGCAAGTAAATACAAAAAGCATTTACTTGGAGCTGCATTATTTTAATGTTCAGTTCAGCTGCCCATTGCAAATATTATTACCAATCTACAATCGCATACTTGTTTAGCGGATTATTCTAATATTCTGAAAAGCTCGAGAAAGTTTCTGGAAAGCTCAAGAAAGTTGCATAAAAACATTTAAAGTCAGTGTTCACTTTCAAAAGAAAATCTTAAAAATATATATATATATATATATCAAAGGATACATTTAGAAAAAGGAGAAGCAAGCCAGGAAAATGAAGGGCTGCATCTCCATGTGCTACACAAATCTAATGCCACTGCCCAAACCATGAAATTCCCATGTTTTTTCCATGGTTTTTACCCTGCGTTTGTATGCCACGTAGAAACGCTACTTTTAGCATGGCTTATTTGGTTTTGAGGAAATCCATGAAGTATTTCACTGAGAGTTGACATTACCTAAGTAGAAAAAAAGCTCTGTCTTATTAAAGCAAAGAGGGTTGTCCATTGATCAATTATCTCACATTATCATACATAAGGAGACCTGCAGTTTGTTTCTGAAGAATACTTTAAATTTTCCAATTATGAAGCTGTTTCTCAGTGCGGGATGCGGCTGAAGGACAGCTTGCCTGACAAAAGAGAGCTCTCCGACAGCAGAGAGCTCTGCAACACCCTGCAATGCTAAAATGTGGTATATTCACCACTACACGGGTATAAAAACGTGGGTCCAATTTTCTCTTTGTAATCACTGCAGGAGCTTCATCAATTGCCACGGAGATAATCGCACATGGTAACCACCAGCTCTGGGCTCTTGCTCAAATTCACCCTAGGAAAGGTTCGACCAATTTTCCACCTTTCAGGAAGCACGGGCTGCACTGAGCCACTTCATCGTGGATCTGTCCGGAGTCAAGGCAACAACCTGGTTTGGTGGGGGGCGGGGAGAGTTTCTTCCATTTGATGACTGTGCAGAAGACGGCTATTCTTTTGCCCCGTGAAGCAATTGTATATTATTTCCAATCCTCCAAAACAAGAGTCACACTTCCAAGGTTTGATTTTTAGCCATATCCTAATGCTGCCCTGCAGGAATCTGCTGCGCTCCTCCATGCTGGCATACTGGCAAAGCATTTTCTCTTACGGAGCCTGTTTATTAGCACTGGTCGTGCTTCAAAGGTCTGATGAAAGCTCAAGTTTCTGAGATTCATACTGCTGGGGAAATATAACCCCACCACGTCAGGACCTGGCGTGGTGAGACAGGGCCTGGGAAGTGGGATTGGGAATGGGGAGGCTGCAACAGGTTTGGGGTTCCACAGGAGCTGCCTGGGAGCAGGGTGTGTTTGGAGGAGTCAGAGGGGCTGTGGATCTGCATAGACATCCAAATGGAAATGGAAATGGAAATGGAAATGGGAAGGGAAGGGAAGGGAAGGGAAGGGAAGGGA